AACCCACAACCTTCTGATTACAATGCGAGCTCGTATACCATTAAGCCATGTCAGCTCATGATGAAAATCCTGTAACCAATCAAATCCCTACAAATCAACACTTGACGCCTTTCCCTATGACAAATAACATACATACACACACTCATATAGAACTAATCCTCACAAATCAACTATATAAAAATATACACAATAACAATTTGACATTAGTCATCACAAATATATGTGATGACTTTTATAAAATTATATTTGTAAAATCTCAGCGAAATTGAAATGATTAATTCCAACGTTTCGTTCGGCAATCTGGACCGAATTTCTTCAGGGAAATTAATCGAATTAACATAACAGAGGTTTATATATAAAAGGAACAACTCATGTTTTTAAATTTTGTCCAATCATGAGTCATGCAACAGTCATCAACATGTATAATAAATAAATAAATAAATAAAATAGTATGTTTATATATATGTGATGGCTGCTTACATATTCCTACTGGTAAAAGTTTCCATGGACAAATGACCTTCAAATAAACTGACTTCAATTTATGTAAAACTTTTGACTATATATTTTGATTATTAATAAAAATCCGAATAAATCTGCTGAAGAAGCTGTGGCTTACACAGCGAAACTTTCAGAAAAGTCTTGTTTTGATTTTCTGAAACTAGCTGGGATTAACTTAAATAATTTATAATGAATCTATTGATATATGCATTGGCTGTTCAGTGGTTGAATGTTAACCAAACACGAACTAGTCAAAAACCTATTCTACCACAAATCTGTGGAAGAAATATTGAGATGGATTGGACACACGTTGAGAAGACTGCCCCCAAATGTCACCCAGATGGGCAACGACGAGGAGATCGTGTGGCTGATAGTGATATGGAAGAGATCGTGGCGGAGAAGGAGGAGATGAGAGCTTAATGGGCAATCGCCAAGTCAGCTAAAGAGGACTCCAGAAAACAAAATGAAATGGAGACGTGCTGTTGAAGCTATGCATTCCACTTGCAACCTAAGGGAATAATAATTATTTCAGTCTATGAACATATTCAATGTTTAGTCGAGTTACAAAGTTAAATTATGCACTTTAAGGCGTTTGAAACACAGGGAGTTTTCAGGCAAGACTGCGTCTAGTAAATTTCTCCCCTAAACTTCATTTTAGCCCACATTCCTATATGAAGCAAATTTATTCAGCCTGCAGGTGATGTGGTGTCTTAGTTTCATACGGTTGGGTGGTATATACTTAATTTGTTTGTTTATTTATTTATTAAATTGTCTACCTTTTTTACCTGTCTATTGATTCTACCGTTGCAAGTTGAGCCCACTGCATAAAACACCGCTTTAGACTGGCCTCAGCTAACAGTTGCCGTACTACACCTCGCGGTAGGGATTACCAGTCCTCCGCAGCCACTCACCATTGGGTATTGGTCCCGGCCGTCTCATCCGAAATCCACGAGATCACGCACCGCCGATGTCCCGTACACCACATAAAGCCTAAGGACGGCGAGGCTGGTTCATCCAGACTTAGTAACCGGGCGTGAGTGTTGTCTCATACTTGCGACAGGTCTTTGCTGAAGCTTGGGTCAGCCATCCCGATAAGCCTTATCCAGTGGTCGCCACGTGTAACTATACCCTCGTCCCGCCATTACCCGTGCCCGGGTGAGTTTCTTCACGTTGATACTCAGAGCACTGGGCGGAACAAATAGCCAAATCGAGGCTTTGGCGAAGGAAGCCAATACTGGAAAGCACACGATGGTCGCAGACTTTCATATCTCGCACCGCATGCAGGGCTTCCATGCTAAGCGACGGGCGAAAACAAGCCGGGCATTTGGCTACCTTGAGAGAGTATTACGTAACTTTTAAGATTTGACCTAATAGTGTATTTACTTATTGAATTGTCTACATATATACACACATATTTCTACCTTCGTTATTCTCATCGCCACGTGCATAAACCTAATGTAATCATTATCTCTCTATCATCGTAATCATCGTTATTACTGACTTTCAAAACATTTACCACATTATTATTATTGTTTTTATTATTATTTGATCCACAATATCAACGTCATTAGCTAACATTTTCATTTAATCCAGTCTTAAGCAAAAAGGCATCTCGTGTGAACGAACACCAATTGTACCAGACTTTTTATCTTCAAAAAATCAGTATACATCTGCTTTATTAGTCTCTATGAAAAAGTGTAGTAGCACCTACAGGGAGTTCTGTCTACCCTTTGTTTTAACAAAAACTTTCTTCTTTATAGCGTTGATTTCTGTAAAAAACAATTTACCTTTAAATAACGAATATTAACCATAATGTCTTATTAGGCAATAGAATGTCGACAGTTAATTTTTACTAAAATAGATGTAATGATGAAAATTTTACCATGTAACCTTATAAATTCCTGTTTTTACATCAGGTAAAAATAAAAAAATAAAAAAAAGATCTCCTTCGAAACAGCAGTGCATTTCGACTGTTAAATACCAACTGTCTAGGTGTATTAGACATGTATTCTTTCGTTTAAATGGAGATAAATGTTCACGATTTTAGTATTTTCTTTCTTCTGATTGAAGGTTAATAATAATAACAATAACAGCCTTATTCTCGACAGTGTTCGTAAAATGTACGAAATTCTCAGCAGGACTGCTTTCGCATAATACTTTCTCTTCATGGGGTATCTTCATGTAATTGACAATAGATCGTGTGGTGTGATGCCACCCTACCTGAAGTAAAAACCAATCCCTTATGATAATTTCTCCCTTGTCTCTTCCAAGAAATGCATGACATTCAGTTAAAAAGCCAATTTAAAACACTTCACTAATACATTTTTGATGCGAAAGCATAAGTGAATAAATGAAGAACGTAGGTAGTTAATGTTGTTTCTCCAGCAGTGACAATTTTTACTAAAAAGGTCAGCAGCATTTACCTCATCTATTGGAATACTTTGACATCAATGTGTATTATGATTTTTCTCACCTTCTTCCTAATCAGCGCGTTGCAAACATTTTAAATACTCGCAAGAGTGAATCATACCACTTGGGGTTATATTATTTGTTCGATTGGTTGTAGGATTTCACTATGAGCTGACATCAGTTAGAGAACCATTGGAGAACCTTGAAGTAATGGACAGCTGTTTCGTCTCAGTGTTCGGGACACTTCAGCAGTGACTGTCAGATTAATCTTCATATATTGGTTTTGTAGGGAATTTTGTTTGATTAGCCGGAGGATTTTATCATGCGCTGACATAAGTTACAAGACCACTGGAAAACCTGGGATTCCTAGACAGCTGTTTTGTCCTAGTTTGGGGCTCTTCATCAGTGCGCACCCGTCGGGATACGAACCCAGGAACTTTTATCAATCAAAACATCGTAAACACGATAAATAATGGTGGTCTGGTGGGACACTCACCAACCACATAGATGTCTGGGGGTTCGATCCTTGACCGACGCATTCCTTTACTTCTGTCAGCCGGTAATAAGCCCCGTAGATAGAGAAGGTTGGATGTAAGGCTAGCAGCTCAATCCCGTAGAAAAAACGTCTCCGCTACTGAGTCTTCGAAGCTCCAGCTTGACACTCCTTGTTTCACTCCGGAGTCAAAGGAATGAAATAAATAATAAATAATGATGGAGGGTATTCGGTAGCGCAGATTTTAAGCAGGCCGTCTTTACGGACTCAGAAAATAACTAACTGTAACAACAGTAGAATAAATGTTTATACGCGTAATAATTACCTAAATGCTTTTCCTTATATTCACCTGATAATACTAAGTGACGAAGAATGTCAGTCTTTTCAAAAATGTGATAACTAAAGGAATGCATTCCCATTCTGTGGATTCAGACAAAATAATATGTAGATGTAATTTATCTGAAAGGTGTAGTGTATCTTCGTAAGACATTTTCAGCATTCTGATCCCACACATAATTATAATATATATTTATCTGAAAGGTATTTGTTCTGAGACAAGAGGCATCTGTGATCTTGATGCTTAAACGTTTTGACCCTTGATATTCTATTCTATGTGTGATAATTACTCGCATAAACAGGACGTCTGATATCACACATTTCAGATTCATTAAATGTTCTTATTGTTACATCCTGTGTAATTCACAATGCATAACTATCCGTTTCTAGATGTTAAACAGTAGCTTATAGTGATGAGGCTGTTTACTTAAATATAGATTGTATGTTTTGTATTTAGACTGTATTGGAGAGACGATTCCCCTCATTGTATAACACTATGCTGTCTCATGTGTGTTCCTTGTGCATTCTCCTTAACTGTCATTGAAATGGGTAGAGCAAACGTTAATTAATTTTATAGTATGAACCCTATTGTTATTACGTTTGTAAGATAAAGTAGATTTTACATCAGCAAAGTTTGCAGTGTTCTGTTATTTACACTGACTATTTGCTACAAATAGGTGTTGATGGTGCAGCGGTAGACTGCTCTTCGATCACTCATAAGGTCTTGGCTTTAATCCCTTACCAGCGCACAACAATACTTTACTTATCTTGCAATAAGTTCATCAGAGAGGGAAGGTTGGGCATGAAGCAAGCGAACTCACCCCGTAGAAATTAAAACACTAGCACTGAAATTGTAGAGATTATGCCTGATTCCCTATACTCCATTAGGGACGTAAAGGAATAAAATTGTTACATAATAATCTGTTACAAATGTTCTCTTGTGCGTCGGTGGTATAGCGGTTAGGATGCTGGCCGACCATGCATATGCTCCGGGGTTCGATTCCCGGCAGACGCACTCCTTTACCTCACTGAGCCAGATATAATGTTGGTAAAGAGGGAAGGTTGGGCGTGAGGCTAGCAACCCCATCCTGTAAAACAAACACTGCTACAGAAACTTCAAGTCACTGGCTTGAAGCCCTATGTTCCACTGGGGAACGTGAAGGAAAAAAATGTTCTCTCAATGTGAGATAATTTCTGATTGCTGGTTTATATAAGATTTTGATGCACATTACTCTATTACACTTTGTTGTTTTATTACTTTTAGCCTTATGGAGTTACGTATGAATTGACTGCATTCGTCGGCAAAAAAATCGATGATAACCAACCAACATGGTGAGTTGATACATAAATATATTGTCTTATTTTAAACACAGTTTCTACAATCGAATGACTTACTGAAATAAATAAAAAATAAGCTTTCGATTTCATTTCAGAGCTTTTCAGTAATATCTAATAGCATATTTGAATTCATTGTCGCCGTGTTGACCAAGTAGCTTAAGAAATATGCAGAAAAAAGTGGGGAAGGATAGGACACATTCTGAGAAGGTCACTGAGACATACCCTTGAGTTCAACCCGAATGGGAAACGACGAGTTGTGTTCGCGTCGGTTGGTGACATGGATGCTATTGTGTAAGGAGGAGATGAGAGTTTAATGGAATTCATGGAGTCAGCCAAATGGGACTTCAGAAAACACGATTGAATGTTAATATGCTGTGGAAACCTCGCAAACCAAGGGAATAACAATGATAATCAGGACAATGTATCTACTTGTTGACACGTTTTTTGTGCACAGAGTGAACTATATTGGCCATACATGATAATAACAGCTGCCTTCGCTGTCTTCATGATGAAGATCAAATCACCAGCCGGTCAGAAATAATTAGCGACAAGGGAACCGTTGAGTGACATCGCGCGCCAGTCCGTCTCTCGAGTGGAATGCCAATGCAAAGTAACGAGTGAGTCGTCAGTGAGAGGATGACATGGAGGAGACCGTGTGAGATGAGAGATTACGGTCAGTCGTGTGGCTAGTCGCCTAAAGATGACGGCATAGAATAGAAGAAATTGGAGGTGTGTTACTGAAGACTTATGTTCCACTCGAAACTCAAGGGAATAAAAAAATACAATAAATGACAACGTACTTTCTGCAACAGTTATGATGGTTGATACTTTCATTCCTTTGACAGGTTTATTTCCGAAAATCGCAGTTAATGATCTTCTGAATGTATACGGCATGCAGATTAATTAAATTTGATACAAAAAGAGTTTCATAAATATTATATTGCCAAAACATTACCAAATCTTCCTTTGTGTGACACACAAAGTCAACAGTTTTGACAATCAGTTAACGTTTCAAGCACAATTTATTGCTCATAATCATATCAGCGTTGTTCAGAAATTTACTTCAGATGGAAGTCATAAATCCCGCTAATCCCAGATATATTTCCAGTAGGTTTTCAGCAATGAATGGTGACTAACGTCCTATTGTAAAGCGGCAACCCAGTCTACTTAGGCCTCAAAAACTGATATTGTGACCGCAAATGTTTATATAAAAAGTGGCCAGCATACCTATTAGAACATAAGGTTCATAGGTAATAGTTTTTTGTATTCTTCTACTTTCCCAGTGGAACATTACGCTTCATGCTAGAGGCTTGAAGTTTCGGTAGCAGTGGTATTCATTTTTTACGGGGTGAGGTTGCTAGTCTCACGTCCAGCCTTCCCTCTTTACCAGTCTCATCACTGGCTTAGCAAGGCGAATAAGGCGTCAGCCAGGGGTCAAACTCCGGACCACCTGCGTGGTTGGCGAGCATTCTACCGTTGTACCACCGACGTTAGGTAATTTTTTTTTCCTTCACGTTCCCAGTGGAACATAGGGCTCCAAGCTAGAGGCTTGAAGTTTCTGTAGCAGTGTTCATTTTTACAAGATGAAGTTGCTAGCCTCATGCCCAACCTTTCCTCTTTACCAGTCTCACTACTGGCTTAGCGAGTTAAAGGAATGCGTCGGCCGCGGATCGAACCCCGGACCATGTGCATGGTCGGCGAACATCCTAACTGCTGTGCCACCGACGTTAGGTAGTAGTAATTCATTAAAACTTGTTTACGCACTTAATGAATTTTTGATGATTTGAAAGGCGACAGTATTAATTGGAAGTGGTCTAGTATTCTTCAGTCCAAATAACTGCGTCTCTTCTGTTTGTATGGATACCTTGTTTATAGTTCCTATCACAACTTCAAATGTATCAAAGAGACAAACCCTACAAACTAATTAAATCTGAGTGGAACAGAATAAAAACTAATTTATACAGTCAATATACTTCCTGTTATCATACAAATATAGACTAGTTATAAGGAAGCACTCCGAAAAATACTAAGAAGCTGAAATCCAGATGTGAAAATACCATTTGACAGGAAGTTTTAAAATATTATCACACGAGTCATTTGTATCATTTTCTCCATTCACTTAAGCATCTTTCTTCATATCAAGTATAGACGTTCCCTAGGTAGACTGCTCCTTGAAAAGACAGCTTCCACCCCAAAGGGAACTATCTCCATTCTGCTAATATTGAATGGTATTCAAATCATGCAGATGACAACTCAGAGGCTTCGATCAGCTAGCAAGCGCACATTCTGCACCACCACCACATATCTTTCCATTGCATCTCAGATATTTTACAATTCGTATACTTAAATTTACAGCACAAAACCCTCTTAACTCTAATATATAAAGTGCATCTATAAGTTAACCTAAAGCTACTATTGCAACAACAGAAGACAAGGGCCAGGCAACAGAACGTTTATTACGCAAAGTCAACACGTATTTATAGATTTTGATGCACGTTATTGTAGGTTAATGTTAGTAGAAAATACAGTCTGTTGATTGGTTGTTTCTCACACAAAGTTAACCTTGCATCTCTTGTGGCTGTGTCAGTTCTGCATCCGCCTGTCCATCTTGACCTTGACCTCAATTACTGTCAACCAATTTGGCTAGCAACCATCTCTCACCACACTATGACACATCTATAAATAGAGTCAATTAAGTATTCTTATGTCTACGTCGGAGAGAACATGTTCGTAAATGGTTTTTAAAAATTTCATGAAAAACCCAAGTATACATAATCTGAATGGAAATCACTCCCTATCCACTACAAAGCAAATAACATTTTCAGGTTGCACAATAATTGTTAATGACTGCTTCTCACTTATTTCACATAACTCTAATTCAAGGTTATTAAAGGTGATGGAAGTACTTTAGATCAGTTGTGTGTATTTCAAACTATGTGTACAGAAAACAATAGACTTCAACCTTCGCCTATCAAGGAATACTTGACCTATTAAAATATGATTAGTTATTAGAATGTGCTTTTGTTATATGCAACGGAGTGATTGTCCATAAATTATTCTGAACCATAGTACTTGTAAAGCGATGGTTAGGATACTACGAAATGACATCATCTAGCGATATCTGTCTTCTTTATTGCCTTATAATATCACTTGGTCAAAATACATTCTACAAGCACTCAGAACTCCTTTTTCATTTGTCAAAGGGATATCTAACAGTTATTGAACAGGAGACGAAGTCAATTGTGCATCGGTGGCACAGTGGTTAGGACTCTCGCCGACCATTCACATGATCCGGGGTTCGATCCCCCTGCCTATGTACACCCAATATCTTTGTTCGGCCTGCGAAATTTGGGCTACCGATATCCATGCTGAAAATTCCATACTTGTACTGAAAAGACGGTGTGGCATCAAGTTGTATTCAAAAAAATACATAAAATATATTATCTGTTTGACAACTACTCTCATATAGTAGAGGTTAAATGAGAGTTCATCAGGTGATATATGGTTAACGCTGCCTACTATCGCCAGTGATTTTTCTGATTGCAGTCGACTGGATAATGCGACAAACAGCGGGCAATGAGGAAACAGGCATAAAATGGACTCACACAAAATACTTGGAGGATCTGGACTTCGCCGATGATATATGTCTGATTTCCTACAAACTGGAAGATATGCAAGTGAAAAGCAACAAGTTGGCAGAAGAAGCATCCAGTAAAGATAGGACTTCAGGTGATCATAGAGAAAGCAGAGGTGGACAAGAACAACAACAACAACAGAAAACAATCAGCATAAATGGGAGGAACCTGAAAGAAACAACCTCCTCTACCTACCTGGTAAGCATCGTTTCAACTACAGGCGGCACTGATGAGGATATCAAAGCAAGAATCGGGAAAGCAAGACAAGCTTTCACTACTCTCAAGTCTGTGTCGAGGTCAACAACACTCAGCATGAAAAACAAGATCCGGATTTTCAACTCCAATGTGAAGTCAGTGATAATTACTATACGGATCAGAGACTTGGCGCGTCATAAAGAGCACCTCAAACAAACTACAGACCTTCATTAACAGTTGTCTTCACTCAATACTCAAGATCAGATGGCTGGCCGTAAAAGATCAGCAACAGGAGTCTCCGAGAGCGAACCAACCAGGAACCGATTGTGCAAAAATAGGCAGGAAGAAATGGAGATGGATTGGCCATAATCTGAGGAAACCATCAAGTGACATCACTAGACAAGCTTTCGATTGGAACTCGAAACGGAAGCAGCGAGTTGGTCATCCAACGGTGACTTGGAGGAGGTGATGTGAAAAGGAGATGAAAGCATGTGGACAGACTTGGAGCAAGGTGAAAACGTTGGCAGAGAACCAAACGCGATGGAGACGCTCGGCTGAAGCCCTATGTTCCTCTAGGAATTAAAGGAAATAATAATAACAATACAGATAATAAATACAGGAAACTCAACAAATCTACTATATCTCCAAGATTACTTTCATTTCTCTTCTGACAATTATTCATTTGTTTATTCTTTTACTCTTTTTTATGTCAGTTCAACAGTCACAATTGTCGTGAGGAAAGTTTTAGCTGGACCTAAGCTGCCAAATCGTCTAATACATCCTGTTGTCGAGTCAAGAAAGAAAACTATTAGTCTGGCTTGTTATTCTGGAGAATTGCACATTAAAGCTTCTATAGAAAAACCGGTAATTCTATGCCATATATGATGTTAGTTATTATCTTTTTTGTATTTTAAACAGTCGACATATGACCTAATGGATTTTATCATCTCTTCATAAAACGGTGATCAAAAGTACTGAAGTTACTTAAAGGAGAAAAAAATTATTGGTTTGAAATATGCGCTTAAAATGTTGTAATGAATGTCCTTTGTTTGCAATTCAGTGATCAAATATCGAATTAGATATATGGGATACTAAGCGAAACCAAAGTAGATTTAGCTTTAAACCACTTTTATATAGATAACTCGTTGAAACTGGAATCTAGCGTAGACTGAAGCAAGTCAACCGTTTAGTGTGAAACAGGTGAGTGGGTCATTGGTAATGTACCAATCGAAAAACTTTGTATCGTAGATCTAGTTGAACTCTTCGGGATATAACTCATGTAATACGAAGCAGAACATGATGTTAGGGTCATAATGTTAGGGTATAGCGAAAATAAGATGTAGGAAACCTGGAAAATAACTGTCACATTTGACTCAGTGAAACTGTTTGATATAAATGTTATGAAGTCTAAGGGATTCAGACAGAATTTAATGGCTAAAGTATTAAGTCGTTAAGAAGCGTCACGTGAATCTCAAACTTTACTCCAATGATAAGCCTAGTTTGAAACTGAAGTAAGGTAATTTTATCCTCAGGTAGTGAGTTGGTTCTCCAAAATAGCCACCTAGAAGTTTTGAGTTGGATTCTCCACCAACACACCCATGAACCTCGACTAGCTAGTAGGAATACAGGAAAGGAAAGGGCGTTGATTTCTCCGAACAAGAAGGCGTCTATACGATAAATCCTTAATGAAACAATGAAGCTCTAAGATATAGGGCAAAACTAAAACGTTTCAGTACAAATTAAGTAGGAAACTGTTCAGTAAAGCAGTTTTCATTTATGAGTCTCAAAGTTCAAAGATGTGGAAATCTGTGAGACGAATTCGGCATAAGAAGTCTATCCAACAAGTTAACTAAGGTCGGTCAAGAAACTTCCTATTTTGCAATTTAGTACAAATAACTGAACAATACTGACTTGGAAGAGACAATCAAAAATTGATTCACCCTTCAGACTTCAGGAAAGTCATATTTGAAAGGAAAAAACGTAATCAAAAAGTTTGGAGTCAATCCATATTGCAGGAAATTTATTACAAATCTTGTGAACAATTTACTGATGTCAGTTTTGCTTACACCAACACCCTTATCGATAGTTTACTAATGATACTCCAAGGCTAAGATGATGATAAAACTACTGAAACATAATGAATCTTCATGGCTGTAAATCTTTCGGTAGATAACTGGAATTACGTACCAGTAGCTTTCAAATTTTACTTCATATTTCACGTATTCACAACGAGGAAAGGTAATAGCAGTTGCATTTTCTCTTCACATGAATTTCAGACTTAGGGAGAAATATTTGAACACAACCGAAGGCAGCTGGCATGATGTCCTGGAATTAGGACTCAAGTGACTGGCAATTACATATATATTGTGTCTGTAAACTTAAAGGAATTGCCATCCCTTCAGAGATTTGAACATGCGTCAAAAGTTCGCGTATTCACAAACGTCAGTACTGAACGTAATGTGTAGAATAGCTAATTTCATGATATATAATCCATAGTGTTGAGTGAACTGTATCATCGAGTTCGCAGCGTGTTCCCCAAACCACTTGAATCACCATGGAAGTACACTTTCTCTTGATTCCAGGTGGAAGAAAGCAAACACAGGAAAGGTTTCTCTTAGGCAAGCTAAGCTTCCACTCTGATGTTTTGTTATTTTTAATGGAAAGATTGAATTACTCAATAAAACCTTTTTCGTAGGCTATCGTCGATGGAAAAAATTTCAGAATAACAGGTGCAAATTACTACAGATTTTATTTTGTACAAATTAGCTAACAGCATAATTATTCAAAATTGATGTTATCCACTGGTAAATTAATGTAATTAAAATAAAACCAATTTGTTTGATTGCATAATATCACCAGAATTTTACTAACTGATAAAATGAATGTAATATCCAAATTTACATAGTGTGTGAACATTCGACTAGCCAACATATGCAGAAGAAGGGAATGTTTAACGGAGTGTTAGCTCTGATATGGACTCGAACCGTGGACAAGGTTAAGCTATATTGAGTGTATTAACTGTGATCTGCACATGGTCTGGGGTTCGATCCCCCACCGACTCACTCCTTTACTTCGCTAAGCTAGAAATAATGCTGGTGAGGAAGAAAGGTTGGGCGTGAGGCTAGCAACCCCATCCTGTAAAATAAACACTGCTACAGACACTTCAAGCCACTAGCTTGAAGCCCTATGTTCCACTGGGGAACGTGAAGGAACGTGAAGGTTACATCTATATGTTTTGATATTCACAGGCGTATTTCAATGCATTCGATGGGATGAGCGAAACCTTCCATGGGTTTTTATAAGTATGTTTGTCTAAAGAACTTCACTCTGAAATCAGTATGGAATCAGTATCTACTGTGGTCAGAGTCATAAAGGACAAAATTTGAATTTGTAACACAAATATGAAGTCAGTCGTTTCCACTATATGGATCAAATGGTTGGAGAACTCCTCATGAAAGGGATTTCAATGGATTGTTGCACACTTTTATCAATAGATCCCTTCGCTGCATATTTACGATCGCATTTCAAGCCACAAAGAATTAGCCAGAAGAAACAGTGGGTATCAACCAATGAAGAACCTATTTCTCAACAAAAATGTGCCGTAGGAAATGGTGATGGATTAGACACACACTGAGGAGACCGTCGAGTGACATTGCGGACATCAATACAGGCTTTCGAATGGAACTCAAATAGGAAATGTCGAGTGGAGCATGAGTCCGGGGGTGATACTGAGGAGATAAGAGCCTATGGGCAATCACGTAACCAGGTACAGAGGACTACTGGAGAAAACAGGAAAAAACAGAAATGTATTTTTGAAGCCTTGTATTCCACTCAGAAACGTCTGCTGAAATGTTAAAGGTTCTGCTGCTATCTGTCTCTTATTCATAATGTAAATTAACACAACATAAGTTATGGCATAAATAGGATTACTCTCAACATCCTTCATACCTGCATAAAACTAAATTTGTTAAACATGAAACGTCACAAACCAACATTCATTCATTTTTTTCACTTCTTAGTCATGTGAGAAATAAATAGTGTTTAAAAATATATATTTGGCATGTCTTTTGTTTCCACCTGGCCATATGCTTCAATTTTTCTTTTAGAAATCATAGTTTACTGAAAGTTTAAATACGCTTAATGTGTCTGGTATATTGTATTTAAATTAAATATTGTAAAGATGAAACTTCCATGAAACAACTGCTGTATAAAGGGGGGGGGGTGGAGTCAAAACTGATTTTCATAGCCAAACATTCCTCATTGCGTGCAAACAAAGTGTTATATGAATTCTGAATTATTCGCTAAGTGATTATATTTCAGGCATCAACTTTCATTCGAATTTCTTCAAGTTCGACCACAGATAGACATCAGTTAGAGACTAACGCACCTGTCGGCTTTAAAACCCAGGACCTACCAGTTACAAGTCAATCTCGTAGACCATTTGGCCATCGACACCTGACTTAATGTCCCATGAATTCTAACTTCCGCTATCAAATCCTCATAAATTAACTCTTGAAAATTATTCTGATGCTAGTTAGTGACTGGCTACATGACGGAGTTTCCTGGAGTTCTAGTGAGAAGTCATGACTAGTGGGCTGCATCCTGTCAGAAGTGAGAACAAATACTCACCTTTGGTTGGTGGGGGCCCTAAAATCATGAAACGGTAGAAGTTAGAATTAATGGGCCATTTAGTTAGGTGTCAGTAAGTGAATGATGTACTAGCTTGGCTTGTGACTTGGGTATGTACTAATGATGAGCCCCAAACTAGGACGAAACAGCTGTCGAGTACTCGCTGATTTTCAGTGGTTCTCTAAATGATATCAATCCATGGTTGAAGCTGAAAAAGCAAGTCATATCTCTGTAAACCAACTCTTACAAATTCAAATTTTTTTTTCACAACCATTGGCCCCGACGGACATTTGTTTGTGTTTTTTGACATTTCTTAGTTCTGTGTCTTAAATGATGTAATGACGTTTCTTTAATGATAAAAAAAGCTATATCATGCTGCGTTTATAGAAAAACTTTTAATTCTTATAATACTTATGCACCAATGGAATAGATTTAAAAGGTGTGGAAAATATAAATGTGTATACATTTCATGAAAATGCCTATGCATTACAGATATTTTACGTTTGAAGTACGACGTTTTTTATAGAATACTTTGAAGGTATAAGACTTTAGTGTGTACCTTAAATGCCAGTCGAAAAGTTAAAAAAAAGGGAAAAAAAGAATTCTAACCACCCTCTGTGAGCATGTTTGCCAACAATTTGTTTTGTGCGTTACTCTTCTTCTTAGCTACCAAGTCAAGTGAAAGAAGTTCTTCTCTCACCAATGTCAGCTCATGATGAAAATCCCGTAACCAGTCAAATCCCTACAAACCAACACTTGAATATCAATGAGATGCTCACTAGCAACTTGCCCTATTCAGGTAGGTAGTTACCTGGGGTTCTAGTGAGAATTCGTGACCAGTAGGATGCAGCAGGTCGGGTGTGAGGACAAATACTCACCGAAGACATTGGCTAAGGGTCGCTCGATGTCGTGAATTGGCAGAAGTTAGAATTCATGGACTGGCCATTGGATCGGGTCCCAGTGGCTTAATGGTATACGAGCTCGCCTTGTAACCAGAAGGTCCTGGGTTCGAGTCCCGGTGGGTGCGTACTGATGAAGAGTCACAAACTAGGACGAAATAGCTGTCCAAAACTCCCAGGTTTTCCAGTGGTTCTCTAACTAATGTCAGTTCATGATGAAAATCCTGAAAGAAGTTCTGTTCTTCAAACTGAAGTATGCGCTGAAGATGTCGCCTAGTAGGGCGATGAAAGCTTCGCAAATTAACTATCCAGCTCAGAGAACACTACCATATCAAA